TATACTCCAACGTCCTAACCCTAAATTTGTGTTTTTACGTACGTACGTACGTATTTTGTTTATTTACAAAATTGAATTTCCTTTTTTGGGTTGAAGTACATGTACGTACGTATATAAATGAAATGTGCGAATTTCTTTTCTAGGTATTGCGAGGAAATTGTTTTGGCGTGAATTGTCAAATGCAGAAGCCATTACACCGCATTTCAAACAAAATTAAATATAAATGATTTTTCATAGGTTTAAATCTTTTTTGTTGTTTTCACACCGACTTTTATATATTCGATTTATGTTATATCGATCATTCGCACATTGCTTTTGTTTTTCCATATGGATTTCTCAAGAACAAAAAGATTGAAATTGGACACAAAAAGATTTAATTGAACCCATCAACACGTTCTAAAACGTTACAATAAATCAATAAAAGATAAAAAAATCATAACAGATAACATAAATAAAGACTTAAAGAAAACACGTCACGGAGAAACATAATCGTAACCATAATGAAACATTACGTGAACGAAAAGATGAGACCTATTCAACTACCAATAAAAAATGATGAAATTTCAACTACCCAAGCAACAAAGTATGAATATCATTAATACAATTGTTTTGAAACTAATAATTTATTAATATGATTTGGAATCTTGTTTTTTACAATTTAGGCAAAATTGGATAGTCTTCAACCGAAGTGTACATACGGCTCCCCAAGAGTTTAGCACGGGTATTTGTTTATTATTTGTGTACCCGTGCTAAACTTTAATTATTTTTTAAACAGGACCCCGCGTTTTAATTTCTCTCTATTAATGTCGCGGAAAGTGCAGATCGATGGTGCAGTTACAACCGGGTTTCGTTTTTCATATTTTTTTGGGTTTAGGTTTTGTTATTTGCATTTTTAGAATTGGATTCGTCAATTATCTATAGTGGCAGCGTAGAATGTTATGCTTCATATATTATACATGTTTTTTGAGAAAAGGAAATCTATCCTCAAATGTATTATCGTTATTAAAAAACTTTCATATAAAGAATTATTGTTATCGAAAAAAATTTTCCCTTTATTAGTAATAAAGCTTTTATTAAAAGGATCATTTTTTTGAAATAATTTTCTTTGAAAAAGCTATTAACCAATGTGTAGTTTCTTCGTCAGAACTAATATCATTCTAAGTTATCATCATTTTATTGATGGGTAATCTATATTTTTAAAATCGACTTTTTTTAAAAAAAAAATCATTGTTACGATAATTGGTTCTGATATTGTAAATTTAAAGGCCCAAAGTCTAGTTTCTTTAACGTCACATTTGCATAAATTTTATATACATTTACAATATACAAAATCTTACTTTATACGCAGTTATGACCTCACCAACCAAATCCACGTGTTTATTAATTCAACGTATTATTACTAAACCATACACCACTAATATTCATATTACTCTAAAAATTATATGAGCGGTAATAAATACGTATCAATTTCGGTACATGTGTCAGCCCCAATTTATTAGCATATTTATTGTATTGTTTATTATCAATTATTTAAGAATTTTTACTAAAATACTTTACCACACAGAGTCTATTAATTTGCATGTGAACAAGAAGAACATTATTATTCAAAGTATTTGGAATAGGTTATTTAATTCCATGAAGATTTACAATCCTTGTTTGCATTTATTGATTGGTAAGCAAAATATCCATTATGTAAAACAAAAAATATTAAAGCTACATGCATCATACTATAGAGTAATTTATCGAATCATATACAGTATTAAACTTATAATTCAGATATGATATAATTTCTCAACTCAGAAAGCGAATCCTCCTCCACATGATCATATTCTAGTTATATATAAATTCTAAACCTAGAATTTACCTGGAATTTCACAATTTTACATATAATTAACCGAAATTAAGGTATTATTTTCGTAAAGAAATTTGACTAATTCTTTGCATTCATTAATGCTAAGCTGATTATAATAAATATTTAAATCAGTTAAAATAGTGTTTTTGCAAAGTGCTCCTACTAATACTTTTATCCCTTCATAACCAAGTACGTTATCACTAACATCCAAAGAAGTTAAAGTGGTGTTTTTGCAAAGAACTTCCGCTAATACTTGCCCTTCTTTAAAAGTAAGTTTATTATCAGAAAGAATTAACTTTCTTAGTGTTGTATTTTGGCAAAGCGCATCTGCTAATGTTTTCATTGCTCTATAAGCTCCATCAGTAGGAAAATTACCACTAAGGTTTAAGGTTGTTAAAATGGTATTCGTATGAAGATTTTCTGATAGCACTTGGATTCCAGATAATTCGATTCCATCAGTATCAATTCGATTATTACCGAGTCCTAAAGAAGTTAAGGCATTATTCACATAAAGAGCTTCAGCTATCGCTTTTACCCCTTCGGATCCAAGTAGATTATTGCAAAGACTTAAAGATGTCAATGTAGTGTTTTTACGAAGAACTTTTGCCAATATCTTGGCTTCTTCACAACTAATAGAACTGAACTCAATACTAAATGATTTCAAAGTTGTGTTTTTACAAAGTGCTTCCGCTATCGCCTTTACTCCTTCAAGATCAATTTTACATATTACAATAGTCAGAGAAATTAAAACGGTATTTCCACTAAGTGCCTCTGCTATGACTTTTATTCCTTCAACGTCAAGCTTAATATCATGAAGACTTAAGTGTTTCAAAGTGATATTGTTGTAGAGTATCTCCGTAAATAATTTTCTAATTTTAAACCTTAATGGGTAATGCCCAAGAAATAAGGATTTTATAGTTGTGTTTCTATAGAGAACCTTTTTAAATTCTACTTCGGCTTCGTCATTATAAAATTTATTACTGAGAAGACTTAGATAAGATAATCTTGTATTCTCATAAAGTGCTTCTGCCAAAATCTTCAATTCCTCAAATTTCTCAAAACTAAAATCACAATACTGAAGAATTAATGATGTCAGACCAACGTTTTTACAAAGAATATTCACTAGTGATTTTATAGCTTCAAAACTAAATTTGACGCAACAAAATCTTAAGATTGTAATAGTGGTGTTTTCGTAAAGAAATTCTTTTAATATCTTCACTAATACTTCACTAGGAATTCCGCCGACGATTTCAAAATACTTGATTTTCTTACTTTTTCGTGCTAACATTGTAATTAATGAATATTCGACTGTTTTGGTCATGTAATCGAATTTGTCAATAATTTTATATTTTTGATCATAATAAAGTTCATATTCCTCAGGGTAAAGATAATGCACGATTCCTTTTTTTAAAATATAACTATTGATATGCTTTGTATATGATATATATTCAATAAAAGGTTTTGGATTATTAGGAAGTGGTATATTTGATTGAATTAATGGTGCCTTTTCTTCTTCATTTAATGATAGAAGGTATATTGTTATAAGTTTTCGATTCTGACAGTGTATCATTGGTTCACTCCATAATATTGGAACGATAATTCTACACCATTGTCGGTTTACAAGAAGGCATGACAATAAGTGTCTGGGGTAATCTCTAAAGTAATTGAATATTTCATAAAGGCAGTCATCCGGTAAATAGATCATTTTGAAAGCGTCAGAAGTCTAAATTTTCAAAAATCACGGATGAAAGTGATTTAAATATCAACGTTAAGATTGTTGATTATCAAATGATGCAAAAAGTTCCGTTTTTGATAGTATTATTAATTATTTTGTACTTTCTTATCAAAAACAATTTTGAAATCAGGAATAATGTTGCACAGAATTAGTTCTGCGTCGATCGCACGAGTTATATTGCCATTATTAGGGGACGTCTAAAGCCGTGTCCAGTCACGTGTTTTTTGTTTTTAATTAAAGTTAGGGTAAGGGTCAGTTTGGGGTTAGGGTCAGGGCATGTCTTATAGTAAAATTGTCTTCCCGGCATTTTTTATTAATGCACCAAGATGGGTTTAGACTATCGTTTCTTGTATTTTTTGCGATTTTCACTTTTTTTCGCTGTTTTTTGTCTCTTCGGGCTGATCCGTGTCGATCAAAATAAACAATTCTATTGGCTTTAGGTCACGTGATTGACACGGCTTTAGACGACCCCCATTATTAAAAAAAAACCCCCTTGATATCTTGATAAAAAACAATTACTGTACATAAAAAAAAAGCAAGCCCAGTTAATACCTGATTTGGACATACTCCATACTCACTATCGCTATCGCTATCGCTATGTAATATCGAATTATATATCTGTGTGCGAGTTACCCAGTTGACTATTTGTATCGCAAACCTATATAAGGTAAAAAAACATTCGTCGTATAACAATTCTTCCATGAGTTTCCATCAAATCTGAATTACGTTTTATCAAAGTTTTAAGAATTAGATGTCCAGAAATGCAGGCTAAATATGGTATGTCATGAACCTTTGGATTTTGTTTTTTGGTGTAGAATGTGTAAAAATTATGATTATGGTAATTGTCCAACCTGTAAACAAAAGAGAACAGGTGAATTCTGGTGTCAACATTGTGAAGCTCTCGTTCTTAAAGCTAATCATGGAAAATGGTCCAGTGGAAATAAAGATATTGACGAACTTATCATGAGCACACAAATAAATCCAAAAAATAGTTTGGAAACATGGGAATGGATTCCATATTCTCAATTCAAAGATATTCACTATTTGGGTGAAGGAGCATTTGCAGAAGTCTTTACAGCTACATGGTTAAATGGACCACGTACAACAGTCAACCACATTACAAAGCAAGTGGAAAGACATCCCAACAAAAAGATTGTTATAAAAAAATTGCGCGGTTCACAAAATATTGATATTAAGTTCTTGAACGAGGTAAAATTTATTATAATTCTGTAATTGCAGTTTTATTTGTCAAAAAATACAAAATTAATGACAGATGCAATTTGTCATCAATTATTCGTATGTTTGGAATCAGCCAAGACCTGGTTACTAATGATTATATCGCAGTAATGCATTATTGTAAAGGAGGAGACCTTTTACATTTTATAAAACAACACAACGAACAGGAGATTGAACATGTTGGTTTCTGTTTCCACAGCACTTATTCGTATTCATGAGGCAGGTTTGGTTCATCGAGATTTACATCCTGGAAATATTTTCATATATTATGAAGACCATGAAACGAATTATCATGGATATCAGGCACAAGTGGGTGACCTGGGACTTTGTATTCCTGCTGACGAAAAATTATCATCAAAGATATATGGAAATTTGCCTTACGTTGCCCCTGAAGTTCTACAAGGCAAGCAACAGACAAAAGAATCAGATATATATAGTTTCGGTATTATAATGTCAGTATTTGCATCATGGCAAGCTGCATTTGAAGGCTTAAATAATGACTGCTATTTAGCATATTATATCTGCACAGATCTTAGACCAGAGATTCCGAATGAGACACCAGAGTTTTGGATACATGGTTCTTAAATTATGATATTGATGGAGAAATTTCACAGAAATTCCGAGCAGCAGATAGCATAAAATGCAAACAAATATTACAAGCACCACAAAGAAAAGAATCTCATAGCATATTATTAAACGAATATATTACACAATTATCTTTGAATCTCAACAATCCAAGTTCGTATTTTAATTCAGTCATTCTCTTTATAATTTTATTACTGTATCTGATATCGATATAATTTTTTTTATTGATTATAGAAAATGCTTCTTTTGGCCAAGTAATTCTTGCACAGAAAGGCACTCATGATAAACGTTGATTCTATAGTAATCTACAGTATATAATTTTTATCAATTTTAAAGAATAGCTAGTATATTATCATGTGGCAGCTTCGCCGCCCAGTTTCAATTAATAGTCAGATATAAATAAGCATTATACTACCATTTATACCATTTATATGTATTTTAAATTTTAAATTAAAAATTAAAAAAATTTACTCTTTATTATTGGTCTATTTGGTAGATCAATCACGTGACTAGGAAATTTTGTTGGCAATACCAATCAAAAAAAAATTTATTTAAGTACTGTTCTAATAGGGTTCTAAAACTAACCCTAATCCTAACCATTTTTAGTTATGGTAGTACAATATTTTGGAGCCCTTTTTTAGAACGCTATCAGGAACAGTAAGTAATCGTGGTAGCTCTCCCACAAACCCCCCTCGTGATTTTTATCCAACTAATCGAAAGATCAGATGTAAACAATCTTTAGGGTTAGGATTAAGTCACGTTAGGATGATTTTGGCTAATGTCTTGTGGGAGATCTATAGGTGTTATCATGAACGCTATTTTTGCACCAGCGCCTACCGCTAATGCTTCATCATCATCCGCTTCCTACTTTCATAACGATACTGTTTCGCCGTTTTACAGGCAAAAACTTTAAATATTTTAACAATCCATCTCCTTTTAATTTACAGAGCGAACTGGAGGAATACCTTACGGTTCCACAAATACCCTTTGATTCTGACCCTTTTATGTGGTTGTAGATGAACAAGCAAAAGTTCCCAGTCATAAGCAGGTTAGCATGTATTTATCTTTCAGTTTCAGCCACTTCAACACCCTCTGAAAGATTATTCTCGGATGGTGGTAATTTGATGGCACCCTAGAGGACGCGCATGAGTTCCGAATTTTTCAACGGTTAATTAATGTTCATGAACTACGACATTTTAAATAGTATCCATAGTATGAAAAATGTATGTTAAAATACTTATTTTATGATAGAAATATATTTTATTAAATATATGTGGACTTAATTAAGTACACAGTGTATTTGGTTATGAATAAATCTGAAGCGCCAAACTTATTGTATTTACTGCTCTAGAATGATTGTACTACAATAAATACATACGGTAACATAAAATCTTATTTCTTAAACTTATAATTTATATATTTTCAAACGTATAAAAAAAAAAAATCTTTTAAAAAGTTTAATATAATGCTAATGATGGGTTTTAATTTCAAAAAACAAATCGAAATCACTCATCATCCGGAATCTCGACATCAATGGGTTTGCTTAAAGCTACAACATAAATCGGTTAGTTTTATATTAATAAAATAAATGTTTTAAATTCATAAAATTACCTTGTGAGATTAATTTTGTGCTAATAATTTTGCTAGTGTACATTTCATCAGGATGCTTTGGTACCGGTAACGAATTAGCAACTTTATCCGCTTTCAAGAACTGAATTTTAATTTCGTCATCATCATCAATTTTTACTTTAAGACTATTATGATCAAAACCGGTTATCTTTGTAAGCCAACATTCTATTGTGTCATTAACATTCCTAGCACTAGGACGTTTTTCTGGATCTTTATCCATGCATTTCATAGCCAATTCAATATAGCATTTAGGAGTTCCTTCACCGAATTCAGGTCTTTTTCCGTGACAAATTTTTCTTGCAAGATTAACGTTAAAATTTTCACCGTCAAATGGTCTTTGTCCAGTTGATATTTCAGCCATGATAACGCCTAACCCGTAAATATCTGCTGCTTGTGTAAACGGTTGCTCGCCCGATAAAACTTCTGGTGCAACATATGGCATGACTCCATAGATTTCACCAGCTGAAACATTCTCATTTTTCTTTATAGATAATCCTAAATCCGCGATATATGTTTGTTGATCAGAGTTCCAACCTTCGTCCATATTTTTTATTTCATCATGTTTGTCTTGCAAAATGTTGCCACTGTGAAAATCCGTTTGAGCGTATTCTGTTTTTATTGTATAGTGTTGGTCTTGCAAAATGTTGCCACTGTGAAAGTCCGCATGAGTGTACTTTGCAAATTCGTGAATATTATATAACTCTTTTGAAATATTTAAAAGTATTTTCAATTTAAACAGCCATGTGAGCATGTTAAAATTTTTTCTTAAATAATTATTAAGACTTCCATTATTAGCATATTGAAACACCATAAAGTATTCTTTTGTTTCTTGATTTTGTGTTATTCCATATATTTTAAGATGACCAAAATGAAATTTGCATTCCATAAGACTTTTAAACTTAGGTTTAAACAATAAATTAGTCAAACTATTAAATAAATCATTAAAACAATAAATAACTTACTTCTTTTATGGATAATGTTTTTAGCGCTATGATTCTGGATGGTTCATACGTTCTTACATAATTATCTTTATTACACTTAATTTTTCGTATACCATTCAACCAAGTTGCAGAAAATACCAAACCAAATCCTCCTTTGCCAATTTGTTTAATATCAGATAAACTATCGAATTGGATCCAATCAATCACATCTGCATAATCAAGGGTTCTAAGTTGAAATGCTTTTATGCATTCATCAACATCCTTATTTCCGCTTGTCCATTTTGTTGCAATGTCAGGATCGCATGATCCACACCATGCATAATAAGTGTTATCTTCATTACAATTTGCACATTTCCCACAGTGTGGGTTGCTTTGTAATTATAATATATTATATAACATTTAATCTTATTTACCATTATATTTAAAACTTTTATGTCAAATAAATATTTGTTATACAAACCGGCTAAAATAGTGTGAATGAAAAGATTTGTACGTAATGGTATGGTAAAATAAGTATTCATGTTCTTATTTAGCTCTAGAACTTGATAAATTTTTTATACTCACTCACTGAATGAAATAAATAAAATGATTTGTACGTAATGGTAATAAGTATTTTTATGAATTTATTATTATTTTAAACTATTAGATGTTCTTTATACTTACAGACTAAATGAATGTGAGTGAAATTATTTTGTTCTTTTTTTTTTATTATGAACTTATCTTTATTTTGTAAAATTATTAATTCTTTATACTCACGGACTAAATATGCACGAATGAATTTATGGTTTTTATTTAATAAAATTATTGATTTATACGCAATGGTAAATAAGTATTTATATTTTTTTTTGTGAACTGGTTTTATCTCGTAAAATTCTTAAATGTATTTACCGCCTAAATAAAAATGATGAAATGATTTGTAAAAAATATGCATTTATATTCTTGTTTTGTTTTTCGTAAATTATTGGTTTTTTTTTTTATACTCACCGACTAAATTATCATAATGCAAATGAAATGAGTATTTATGTACTTGTTTTGAGAACTTTTTTATTCTAGAAATTATTAAATGTTCTTTATACTCACAAACTAAGTCTAATGTGAATAAAACAATTTGTACACAATGAGTAAACTAATATTTATGTTTGTTTATTGAGCAAAATTATTCTTAATACCTACGGGCTAAAATAACCAACAATAAATATTTATGGGCTTTAAATTGCTGATAATAGATCAATAAATACTTACTCCCTAATAATTAAAATTGA